CGATTTTACTCTGGAACAGGGTCAGGGTTCAGTGGGCTCAGCGGCACATCCCTACTCTAAACGGGCAAGAGTACCCCCGGGAAAGAAGTTCATCTAAGCCAAGGGAGGAAGATAGTCGATTAGGGAAAGTATTCCGTACCGTTTCTCCAGAAGGGAAGTGGATAGTCTTGGGCATCGCTTTGCCCATGAATTTATTAACCAGACGAATGTTGGCGAATGTACCACGAGCCATGACTGCATCGTTACCACGACGAGATCCATACGAGTTGAACTGACGAGGAACAAGGCTGTTGAGAATAAGGGAACGTGTGAGAAAAAACAACCACAGCAACACCAGCACCAGCAACAGTAGACAAAATCAACAAGGTCAAAAGCCACAAAAATATGAGAGCAACTTTATAACAAAAGTCCATGGCTCTAAATCCCCTTCTGGCCCGGTTGTACGAAGCCTGGATAGCGCTATCCAACGGATAAATCTTATCCAGTGGATAAATTTATTGGATAACAGCATCGACTAATCCACTGTATAAGGACTTATCCGCCGGATAGCGCTGTAGCTTGTACATGATATTTACCTATTTCAGACCACGGGTCATCCTAGAGTGTCATTTCCTTGGAGACGGGAGTGAAAAATGTTGGAAAATATTCGTTGAACCGCGACTCCCGTACTAGTCTCCCCCACAGCCGCTTTCAGTGTCGTCACGCAACGCTTTCTCCACGACACTGAAAGCGGCTGTGGGGAGACTATATTCGTACGGGAGTCGTCAGAAATTCTATTGCGTGACATTTCCCGCCGTGACAATGACCTCAGACTACACGAAAAAAAATGTCGCGAAAGTGAGTTGCTCGCTACTGAGTACAGACTCGTCAAATGACTTTGAATCAAAATAACATCACTGACATGAATCGACTAACTGGTCTAAACAAAAATATCGTTATTAGGTTGGAAAAGAATACAGAGTTCCCGAGAAAATCGACGAAATTTTTGACTCCCGTACGAATAGCAACAAAACTAGTCGCCGTACGGGTAACGTACGAATAGCCGTTCTTTGTTTAACGGTTGTGCATGAGAAGACATACAGCTCAAACAAAGAATCTTATTCTCAAGGGAATGACACGTGGTCTGGAATGGAAAAACATTACGACCAAAGAATCTTATTCTCAAGGGAATGACACGTGATCTGGAATGGAAAAACATTACGACCAAAGAATCTTATTCTCAAGAGAATGACACGTGGTCTGAAATGGGATAACATTACGACCAAAGAATCTTATTCTCAAGGGAATGACACGTGGTCTGAAATGGGAAAACATTACGCCCGAGGTAAAGAGGTCTATTCTTCGTTTGCACGTTACGTCATCGCAGCCATGTTGGTACCGTTTAACAAAAGATTTCTCATTAGCATCCATTGTTAATGGCACCACAATTGCCGCCATGTTTTTGTCTTTTAACTCTCTTGGGAATGCTTGCAACCTATCAATAGCAGTGGCGTAACCAGGGATTTTGCAGGGGAGGTGCACAGGCAATGATTTGCAGAACCAAAAAAATAATAATAATAAAGCAGAACAACAACAACAAAAAACACACACACACACATTTACATGCAATTTTAAAGCAAAAGGAGATAGATGAGCGGACCTTAAACTTTTATGAGGGGGTGTTCGGGCACCCTGTACTCCACACCCCCCCCCCCTCCTGGTTACGGCCCTGAATAACCTACCCTCTGCCAGCCAGGTATCGTGCTGCAGGGCTCGTCCTAGATATACTACCAGCTGGAGAGATATGATCCGTGGTTACGGAATCGCCAAGGTTAAGTAATACTGCAGCATTTTCTATACTCTTGATTTCAGGTAGTTCCTTAGCCTGAAATAAATAAGACAAAGTATAAAATAACGGTTATGAATATTGCGTTCTGATTGGTTGGGAGCGCGTGGTTTATGAGAGCACACAGAACGCRCGCGCACTTCAGTTCTGTCATTCTATCTAAAAAAACGGTTATTGTAATTTGTATTTCATAAAAGAAATAAAAGAGGGGTTTGTTTTGCTGTGTGGAGTTATAAAGCACTTGGGGATTAGCAGAAAGAGAGGCTATCGGGCTGATACAATGCTTGTTGTCTCGCTTGCATCTCATTTCTCATTTGCATGCATCCATACTGCTAATGAGAAATCTTTTGTTAAATGGCACCAACATGGCCGCGATGCCGTAACGTGCAAACGAAGAATTGACAAAAGCTGTTGTGATGTCCCTGCCTTAACGGGAAAAGCAGAATAATAAAAAATAAATAAATAAATAAATAAATAAATAAA